GAGCGGCGGCTCCTCCTCAGGTGTTTAGAGCCACACACCAGCGTTACACGTCGTCTGTATTTCCTTAATGAAATAGAAAATTACTGAGAAGCTTTCATCTCCCACACGAGGATTCATAAATGGACTTGAGCTGGTATTTTTCTTTTCTAGTCTTCTGACTAATCAAACACATTCACACACTGATGGTAGAGGCTGCTGAGTAAAGAGTCCATCAGTATTAACTCATCCATTCATACACACACTGATGGTAGAGGCTGCTGAGTAAAGAGTCCATCAGTATTAACTCATCCATTCATACACATTCACACACTGATGGTAGAGGCCGCTGAGTAAAGAGTCCATCAGTATTAACTCATCCATTCATTCACACACTGATGGTAGAGGCCGCTGAGTAAAGAGTCCATCAGTATTAACTCATCCATTCATTCACACACTGATGGTAGAGGCCGCTGAGTAAAGAGTCCATCAGTATTAACTCATCCATTCATACACATTCACACGCTGATGGTAGAGGCTGCTGAGTAAAGAGTCCATCAGTATTAACTCATCCATTCATACACATTCACACACTGATGGTAGAGGCCGCTGAGTAAAGAGTCCATCAGTATTAACTCATCCATTCATACACATTCACACGCTGATGGTAGAGGCCGCTGAGTAAAGAGTCCATCAGTATTAACTCATCCATTCATACACATTCACACGCTGATGGTAGAGGCCGCTGAGTAAAGAGTCCATCAGTATTAACTCATCCATTCATACACTGATGGTAGAGGCCGCTGAGTAAAGAGTCCATCAGTATTAACTCATCCATTCATTCACACACTGATGGTAGAGGCCGCTGAGTAAAGAGTCCATCAGTATTAACTCATCCATTCATACACATTCACACACTGATGGTAGAGGCCGCTGAGTAAAGAGTCCATCAGTATTAACTCATCCATTCATACACATTCACACACTGATGGTAGAGGCCGCTGAGTAAAGAGTCCATCAGTATTAACTCATCCATTCATACACATTCACACACTGATGGTAGAGGCCGCTGAGTAAAGAGTCCATCAGTATTAACTCATCCATTCATACACATTCACACACTGATGGTAGAGGCTGCTGAGTAAAGAGTCCATCAGTATTAACTCATCCATTCATACACATTCACACCCTGATGGTAGAGGCTGCTGAGTAAAGAGTCCATCAGTATTAACTCATCCATTCACACACATTCACACGCTGATGGTAGAGGCCGCTGAGTAAAGAGTCCATCAGTATTAACTCATCCATTCATACACATTCACACGCTGATGGTAGAGGCCGCTGAGTGAAGAGTCCATCAGTATTAACTCATCCATTCATACACATTCACACGCTGATGGTAGAGGCCGCTGAGTAAAGAGTCCATCAGTATTAACTCATCCATTCATACACATTCACACGCTGATGGTAGAGGCCGCTGAGTAAAGAGTCCATCAGTATTAACTCATCCATTCATACACACACTGATGGTAGAGGCCGCTGAGTAAAGAGTCCATCAGTATTAACTCATCCATTCATTCACACACTGATGGTAGAGGCCGCTGAGTAAAGAGTCCATCAGTATTAACTCATCCATTCATACACATTCACACACTGATGGTAGAGGCCGCTGAGTAAAGAGTCCATCAGTATTAACTCATCCATTCATACACATTCACACACTGATGGTAGAGGCTGCTGAGTAAAGAGTCCATCAGTATTAACTCATCCATTCATACACATTCACACACTGATGGTAGAGGCCGCTGAGTAAAGAGTCCATCAGTATTAACTCATGGTTAATGGTACCTTATCTCTCTTGGTGAACATTGAAAACTGGCGCCACAGACCTGAACAGCACTCGAGGGTTAAAGGAGTTTCTGTAGAACATATTCCAGCAGCAGCATCGAGCGGGTCAAACTCATCCTCAGCTGTGATTGGACACCGAGCTGTGACGCACACTTCATATATTTACACATAACAATCTGTGCACCCATTTGGATTCTGTGAGTCCTGCCAGAGTCCGATAAAAACAAACCTGTTTTAAATTCCACACACTGTTGGCACGGCGCCAAACAGAATGTATTTCAGGCTGATCGTGAAGCCGCCCTGTAAGATTTGTCCGTCTTACATCAGAAGTGAGAGCGACGCTTCATTTATCTGAAGCCTCATTAAATTTGTTTACAAGGAGAAGTGGTTGTTTTTTAAAACTTTAGAGAAAATGTGCAGCGCGGAGAGGAGGCGGGGGAGGGGGGGGTCTCTGAGGGTCTTTACTATTGTCATGTTAATGTGGACGGATGAGGATCCTCAAAGTGACATTTCATTGTGCAACTCGGCTGAATTCACACTCCTGCACAATCTGAGGGTTATTGCATTTAACAGTCAGTGTGGGGACTCTCTGGTTCCTATCAGCAGGTGTAACATGCTCACTGAATAAGTAAAGACGCATTTGCATTCTCCCGACACGAGAGGGAGATTTGAAGGAGAGGGTTTCCACCTTTAATACAACACATCCCTCTCTCCCTGGTTAATGTAGAGTGTTGCTTTAATGTGGGTAATGGCCTTCACTTAAATACCCGACACAGCAGAAAAATCTGCAAACATCAGACACATCCATATTCAGACGCAGAGCCTTTAAGCCTTTCTTACTTTAGGCTGAACATCACAGGCTGCCCTTTACTCTGCATCCAAACACAGACAACACAACATTACATCTCAAAAAGTGCTGAAAGGTGTCACGTCAACGAGGTCAAAATAAGCAAACTTAAAGCACCAATCAGTGAGCTGTGTAGAGAGTGAGATGATAAAGGTATCTTACTCTCTGATCATTAAGGAAACATGCTATGTTGAAGTGCTGGCTTCTCTGACAACAATGCAGCAGCCAGTATGTCCTCCTTCTAACTTTAGATTCTGCTCCTGAATGCTCTGGATTTGTTTGGACCAGAGAAGGTAGGCGCTTTTAAGACACCCCCCCACACGGCCGTTTTGGACGCCCCTCGGTTTGTCAGATATGAGAGCAGTTATCAGGTCAACAGGTGTTGCAGCGATGGAAGCGGTCAAGAGAAGTGGTTCAGATAGAAGTGATTGTACCCGACCTAAAAAGCCTCTGCATGTTTCTAATAAGCTCCACGAGCAGAAACGTGCTCAAACTAGGATCAATATTGGAGATGCTTTTGAAAAATGGAGAGAGGTTAGAACACAGAAAGGTTTACAGACCCATGCAGAGCTGAAGAAACACTGAAGCTTCAGAGTCCACCACATGGTGACCTGAGTGAGCATCCACTCTAGAGAGGAGGGGGGGAGGAGACAGCTCTCTATGATGTTTAGAATTTAGACTGCAGTACACATTTTAAACACTAGGTGTGAGAGTTACATACTGCTCCTTTAATGACTCAATAAAGTAGAACACCGACCTGATCAGAAGAACAAAAGTCTAATATAATAAGCGTATTGTTCAGACTTTAAGTGAAGGCAGAGTGACTCATGTCATCGTCTCTGTTGTTGCACAGATTTCTTCACGTCATATTTCTGTTTTTGTGGCTCAGAGATTTCTCTCTGTTCTTCCTGAAGTGACACACAGAAGTTATCTGACAGGAGTGATGATGTGTCACTTACTCATCAGCTCTGTGATGTCACTCCAAACTTTCTCACGCTGACTGTATGACCCGCGGTGAGTCAGAGGGAGACACTGAAACACACGTTTGGGTTCAGCGTCACACAAATCTCCACTTTGAATTGAAGCTTTTATTTTGGACCCGCTGCTGTTCGACTGTTCAGGGAAAGGATTTGAACGTTTCCAAAGAACAAAAAGAAAAAGACTTGCAGCTCAACAGGTGGTGAGATTGAGCAATATAGACTCAGAGACTACCCACAGATTCACTTGCTCTGTGGACAAAGGCGGGGAAGAATGCCAGGGATGAATAACTGCTCTGTCTCTTTCATCGATTTCCCCTGAAAGCAAAACGTGAAGAGAGGACTCCGAGAGGCTCCGCTGAAAACTTTTTCTTCTTTCAGTCCAAACCCAGAGAGGCTCGGTCTCTCGACGGGCTCCATGTCTCTTTAAAGAGCCGCTCAGGCAGCTTGATTTGAATATTTCAGGCTCCTTTGTAAATATTCTTAAATCTGAAAAATGAGGCCCTGCAGCAGTCGGCCATTTTCACACACATAGCAGAGAGAACTCCCATGATTGTCCACCAGCCCCGACGTCATCTTTTATTATTGTTTTGATTGAAAGCCCCCCTGGTGGCGGAATTTGAACACTGCGTTTAAATTTCTTCTTTCATTTTTATTCTCTCTACAGAGGAGTGATGTCTACGGGGAAAACTCAGGGGGGGGGTCATTGCATTTAAAGAGACACACACACCAAAACGGAGCGTTCTGAGAGAGCTGGTTTCTACAGGGTCACAAACCTCCTCTGGTGCTTGATTCATGTTATATTTTGACCAAAGCACAGCACAGATGTTTCATTTAGACCACAGGGGGGGGGGGGACTGTCTGAAAAGGGGGAGGAAGGGGGATAATATGTCCTCTTTAAATGAAATGCACATACAATTTTATAAAGCAGGCGCTTTAAATAGAAACAAAAACAGCACCTCTCTGCCTCCGTACATAAACTATCACCATTTCCACTCTGTCTTCTTGTCTCTCCACCTGTCACATTTATTTCAGTTACACATTTAAAATAAGGATCCCTTAAATCAAGTCAAGCTGTGATTATTACTTATATCATAAATATTATTATCATTATTCAGCAGATTACTCAAAGTGAACATATAAAACGTTCTACTGTAATTTCAGAATAAAGCCGGATTATAAAACACGTTGTACCTGCATCACCTGCTGCACTTATAAATACCAAAACATTACAACGACGTGAGTCACACAGAGGGGCGGGGGGTGAGGGGGGGGAGGGGGGGGGAGTGGTCCTGCAGGCGTAAAGTAGGCGTCGGCTTCAACAGCTGACACTCCAAAACCGGGAGGAGCGCCTGGCTGCCTCAGCTCAGAGCTCAGAGGAGGCTGACACACGGACGGAGGTTCTTTACGCGCGCAAAGTCTCCGGAGCTCCACGGAGCACACCTGGATCTTATCGTGGATGGTTTGGAGCACACCTGGATCTTATCGTGGATGGTTTGGACATATCGGTGCCGCGAGAAAAGACCCCACAGCTGCACAAGATGACACCTTTACCGAGTGGAGGATTCCAGTGAAACAGGTAAGAGAGCTGCGACACTCCTCCGGGAATCTGAGAGCGCACGATGAGGTGTGTGTGTGTGTGTGTGTGTGTGTGTGTGTGTGTATAAACGTGTCATTTCTGTTTTCTGAAGCTTTTCATTTGCACACCTGCTTCTTCTTCGTCGCGTGCAAATAACCTCCGAGCTCAGGTCTGCGTGTTCCTGTCCCGCGTAAGTCCGTGAATCAGCTGTTCAGAGATCTGCTGTACAGCTCAAATCTGTGTGTGATTTAAACTTTCTCTTATAACGAGCTGCCTCTAAAGGAGATGTCTTTAAAGTCACCTCTCAGGTATCAGCTGTTTAAAGTCATGAATGATGTCATACTCACATTTATCATTTCATCTCCAACGTGAATTAATTAGAGTAACTATTTAAAATGCTGGTTAACATTTATTTATGAATTAATTATTCTTCTATGAGGTTTTAAACTGAAGATAAAATCAGATTATTTACATTTAATAAGATAATAAAACATTAAATCTGAGTTTTCCCTTCCTGTTGGACTCTCAGGTATCAGCTGTGTTTAAAGTGATAGATAGATAGATAGATAGATAGATAGATAGATAGATAGATAGATAGATAGATACTTTATTGATCCCGAGGGAATCCAGTAGCAGGTTACAAAGACATGACATGAAACATACATATATATTAACCTGAAAAAAGATTTAAAGAATACCTCTAGATGAATCAAACCTAAACTGTGCAATTAAAAATAGATTTATACAAGAAATGTACATAACCTGTGCAGGGATAAAAATATATGTGACATTTAAACAAGAACCTATAAACAGGTGAGGAAAAAAATCTGTAATTAGACCTGAATATAAAAAATAAAAAAGTGTTGACCTTCTGAAGTCGTGATAAATGATGTCATGCTCACATTTATAATCTTCTCTCCAGGATAAATAAATTCAAGTGAATATTTAAAATGCTGCCTTCTCCCTCTGTGAGGATTTCAACTGAAAGATTCAAACGATAATAAATCTGATTAATTATCATTTCATTTAATAAAAATAAAAAAATGTTTTAAAGAGTCTTTTTGTTGATTTAAACACTTCCTGTGAACATGTGGATCACCTCATGACCTCGTAGACCTGATGTGTTTTCTTTTTTTTTATTGGTGCTCAAGTGAACAAAATGAAACAAGAAGATAAAGACATGAAAACTAAAGTGGGAACAAATAAACAAAAACGAAACCTGGTGGTTTAAGGTGTACTCCTGATGTGAGCGGGCGCCGGAGAGTGTCGCTGCGTGGTCGCTCTTTCGAGGCGTTCTGTGTTCTCCAGGTTTCTAACCTCTTTGTCTGTCCTCGCAGGCTCCGCCCCCCTGACGGAGAAGAGGACGTCTTGTCTTTTAGTTTTTCCTCTGACCGGACCCTCGTCCTTTCAATGTGGGAATTAGTCTCCGTGCTGTCGCCAGGCTGAAATCCTCCCGGGTCAGGACCTCTCTCATGGCAGCCGTGCTCCTCGGGCTGCTGCTTTTCGCCATGCAGTCTCCGCCCCTCCCCTCCCGGCCGGCGGCGGCAGACGAGGGGCCGCCGCCTCCGTCGCCCACCTTATCCCCCGCAGAGAACGCCAGCAGCAGCAGCAGCAGCCACCCGAACGGGTCCCGCAGACGACTCCCTCAGATCCTGATCATCGGCGTGAGGAAGGGCGGGACGCGGGCGCTGATCGAGATGCTCAGCCTGCACGGCGCCGTGGCGGCGGCTCAGAACGAGGTGCACTTCTTCGACTGGGAGAGTCACTTCCAGAAGGGCTTGTCGTGGTACCTCAGCCAGATGCCGTACGCCTTCCCCGATCAGCTGACGGTGGAGAAGACCCCCGCCTACTTCACCTCCAGTAAAGTCCCCAAACGAGTCCACGAGATGAACCCGGACATGAAGCTGCTGCTGATCCTCAGAGACCCCACGGAGAGGGTCCTGTCCGACTACACGCAGGTCTTCTACAACCGCCTGCAGAAACACAAACGCTACCAGCCCGTGGAGGCGGTCCTGGTGAAGGACGGCGAGATCAACCTGGGCTACAAGGCGCTCAACCGCAGCCTGTACTACGTGCACATGCAGAACTGGCTCAAGTACTTCCCCCGGGCGAGCATCCATGTGGTCGACGGCGACGAGCTGATCCGGGACCCGCTCCCCGAGATGAAGAAGGTGGAGCGCTTCTTGAAGCTGGCGCCGCAGATAAACGCTTTGAACTTTTACTTCAACAAAACGAAAGGATTCTACTGCCTGAGGGAGCACGGCAGAGAGCGCTGTTTACACGACTCAAAGGGCCGTGCCCACCCCCGTGTGGCGCCCGCCATCCTGCAGAAACTCTACCGCTTCTTTCACGAGCCCAACAGGAAGTTCTTTGAGCTGGTGGGCCGAACGTTCAACTGGAACTAACGGGGTCTCTCTGTGACCAAGCTAAAGCTAAGCTAACGTCAAACTCAGTCTATTTTTCTACCTTCAGTGAAACGGCGTTTGGTAGAGCGAGACGTCAGCACGCCGCTCGTGCATGTCTTTGTTTTCATCGGTTTGAAACACTCGCACAGCCGCTGTCACTTCCTGTATGAGGACATTATTAACGTTATTGACCTTTGACCTGCTGCTATGACTGTTTCTGTGGGCGTCGGCTCCGGCGTCTTCTGTAAAAACATTTTTATGAAGAATTAATAAAAAAAGTTTATTTTCAGCAAGTTTTTTTATTCATCTGTGTGTGTGTGTGTGTGTGTGTGTGTGTGTGTGTGTGTGTGTGTGTGTGTGTGTGTGTGTGTGAGCTGCTTCGTGTGTGTGTGTGTGTGTGTGAGCTGCTTCGTGTGTGTGTGTGTGTGTGTGAGCTGCTTCATGTGTGTGTGTGTGTGTGTGAGCTGCTGTGTGTGTGTGTGTGTGTGTGTGTGAGAGCTGCTTCATGTGTGTGTGTGTGTGTGTGTGTGAGCTGCTGTGTGTGTGTGTGTGTGTGAGCTGCTTCGTGTGTGTGTGTGTGTGAGAGCTGCTTTGTGTGTGTGTGTGTGTGTGTGTGTGAGCTGCTTCGTGTGTGTGTGTGTGAGCTGCTTCGTGTGTGTGTGTGAGTGCTTCGTGTGTGTGTGTGTGTGTGTGTGTGTGTGTGTGTGTGTGAGAGCTGCTTCGTGTGTGTGTGTGTGTGTGAGCTGCTGTGTGTGTGTGTGTGTGTGAGAGCTGCTTCGTGTGTGTGTGTGTGTGTGTGTGAGCTGCTTCGTGTGTGTGTGTGTGTGAGAGCTGCTTCGTGTGTGTGTGTGTGTGTGAGCTGCTTCGTGTGTGTGTGTGTGTGTGTGTGTGAGCTGCTTCGTGTGTGTGTGTGTGTGTGTGTGTGTGTGAGCTGCTTCGTGTGTGTGTGTGTGTGTGTGTGTGTGTGTGTGTGTGAGTGTGTGAGAGCTGCTTCGTGTGTGTGTGTGTGTGTGTGTGTGTGAGAGCTGCTTCGTGTGTGTGTGTGTGTGTGTGTGTGAGTGTGTGAGTGTGTGAGTGTGTGTGTGTGTGTGTGTGTGTGTGTGTGTGTGTGTGGTGTGTGTGTGTGTTCTCTCCACCTGTTTGTTATTTTCTGGGTTTACATTTTGGGAATATGAGAAACATTTGTGAAATTCTTCACAAAGAAAAACAAAGAAAGAAACTGTGTGGTCAGACTTTGAAGAGAGGGAATGAGGAGAACGAGGAGATGAGGAGATGAGGAGACGAGGAGATGAGGGGGAGACAAGGAGACGAGGAGGAGAAGGAGGAGTGGAGGAGACAGGGAGGAAAATGAGGAGGCGAAGAGATGAGGAGGAGAACGAAGAGGAGGTGCCCCCCCCCCAGGCTTCATTGTTGTCTGTGTCAGGAGCCTGATGTTCACAAATCCTGCTCAGTATCAAAATCCACATGTTCCCCACACACACACACACACACACACACACACACACACACACACACACACACACACACACACACACACACACACACGAAGCAGCTCACACACACACACGAAGCAGCTCTCACACACACACACACACACACACACACGAAGCAGCTCACACACACACGAAGCAGCTCACACACACACACACACACACACACACACACACACGAAGCAGCTCACACACACACACGAAGCAGCTCTCACACACACACACACACACACACACACACGAAGCAGCTCACACACACACACGAAGCAGCTCACACACACACACACACACACACACACACACACACACACACACACACACACACACACACACGAAGCAGCTCACACACACACGAAGCAGCTCTCACACACACACACACGAAGCAGCTCACACACACACACGAAGCAGCTCTCACACACACACACACACACACACACACACGAAGCAGCTCACACACACACACACACACACACACACACACACACACACACACGAAGCAGCTCTCACACACAAAACACACGAAGCAGCTCTCACACACACACACACACACAGCAGCTCACACACACACACACACACACACATGAAGCAGCTCTCACACACACACACACACACGAAGCAGCTCACACACACACACACGAAGCAGCTCACACACACACACACACACACACGAAGCAGCTCACACACACACACGAAGCAGCTCACACACACACACACACACACACACACACACACACACACACACACACACACACACTCACTCCTGCAGAATGAGACTCTAACGTTCACTAATTGAAACTCGGCCATCGGAGGTCGCTCCTCGTCTCGTGTTGCTCGCTTTACTTCCTCCTGAGACGTCACAGCTATGACTTCATCTTTTCTCAAGTTGTCTTGATTTTCTGCTCACAGCAGCGACCTGATTGGACGGTTACATTCTACGTCTGACTCGTCGGTCGCCGTGCGCTTCACGTCTGTCACATTTCTCGCTCAGCGTGAAACACAGACATCATCAAAGATTTCTCCCCTTCATGTTCATCTTAACCGCTGACCCCAACGCCCCCGTCCAGAGGAGCCTGGATGTTTCCAGGTGCTGCCCGCCCTCTCTTTGAGTTCTAAAGGTTCCCCGGAGAGACGAGGTCGAGAACACATCGATCTGCTGCTGTAACGCCGCTCTGTTTGCTGGAGGTTAACAGAATCCCATCAGCTTCCTCCTCTTTGGCCAATATCCATCTGAAGCGTCTCTGATTCATCCCCATCGCTCAGCGCTCGCTCTGAGGACACCATCAGACATCAACAGGAAGGAGCAGGGAAAGTAAAAACACCTGAGGAACATCTTTAAACAGGAAGTAAAAAATCAGACGATGTTTTCTCTCGGGGCGAGAAGTCGTTAAGTCAAAGAATAAACGATGACCAAACATAAGAGAAGTAGAGGGAACGACTTTCACCTTCACGTTTGGAAGGAAGGGTTCCTCAGGTTTATTTTGTAGCTTTTATGCTTTTATTTTGATAGGACAGTTGGTACAGGAAACCAGGAGAGAGTTGGGAGTGATGTGTGAGAACAGAGCCGAGGGTCGGCGTACAACCCGAGCCGCCTTCCTGGAGGACGACAGCGTCCGTCAGGTGGACCAATCACCCGCTGACGCCTCTTCCTCAGACGTCTGAAAAACACAAATTCTATACAGACTGCACGTTCAAGGCGCCATGTTTACACACAGAAAGGTTCCTGTGTGACGGGAATCGAACCCCTTCACCACCGCGCAGCACGCTAAATAAGAAACATACACGTGCCCTTAAACAACCTCTGATTATCTAACAGGCAGGAGGTCGCTCTCAAGACACTCGATTAACCACGGCGCTCAGCCCTTGTCATCAGATGCAAAAAAATAAATCCTTCCTCTCATTTGGTCCTGATCCCTCTGCAGAAGCTCCGCCCCTCTCTCCTGTAACGAGGTCCTGATCCCTCTGCAGAAGCTCCGCCCCTCTCTCCTGTAACGATGTCCTGATCCCTCTGCAGAAGCTCCGCCCCTCTCTCCTGTAACGAGGTCCTGATCCCTCTGCAGAAGCTCCGCCCCTCTCTCCTGTAACGAGGTCCTGATCCCTCTGCAGAAGCTCCGCCCCTCTCTCCTGTAACGAGGTCCTGATCCCTCTGCAGAAGCTCCGCCCCTCTCTCCTGTAACGATGTCCTGATCCCTCTGCAGAAGCTCCGCCCCTCTCTCCTGTAACGAGGTCCTGATCCCTCTGCAGAAGCTCCGCCCCTCTCTCCTGTAACGAGGTCCTGATCCCTCTGCAGAAGCTCCGCCCCTCTCTCCTGTAACGAGGTCCTGATCCCTCTGCAGAAGCTCCGCCCCTCTCTCCTGTAACGAGGTCCTGATCCCTCTGCAGAAGCTCCGCCCCTCTCTCCTGTAACGATGTCCTGATCCCTCTGCAGAAGCTCCGCCCCTCTCTCCTGTAACGAGGTCCTGATCCCTCTGCAGAAGCTCCGCCCCTCTCTCCTGTAACGAGGTCCTGATCTCTGCAGAAGCTCCGCCCCTCTCTCCTGTAACGAGGTCCTGATCCCTCTGCAGAAGCTCCGCCCCTCTCTCCTGTAACGATGTCCTGATCCCTCTGCAGAAGCTCCGCCCCTCTCTCCTGTAACGATGTCCTGATCCCTCTGCAGAAGCTCCGCCCCTCTCTCCTGTAACGAGGTCCTGATCTCTGCAGAAGCTCCGCCCCTCTCTCCTGTAACGAGGTCCTGATCCCTCTGCAGAAGCTCCGCCCCTCTCTCCTGTAACGATGTCCTGATCCCTCTGCAGAAGCTCCGCCCCTCTCTCCTGTAACGATGTCCTGATCCCTCTGCAGAAGCTCCGCCCCTCTCTCCTGTAACGAGTCCCTTTAGACGCAGAGTTTTGACCATCTTTCTTCTTCGTGGTTTTTTAAAGGTCACAGAACATCATGAGGTTTAGTTTGACCTCTTTACACTTTTTTTAAATCTGTGGTTTTGTTTGTGAGATCTGAGTCATGAAGACCTGATCCAGGACCCTTCCGGTCTGCAGGATTCGGCTCAACTCGCCAGCCTCTATGTTGAAGGTTCTCATAGTTCAGCTGAGAGTCAATGAGGCTGTTTAGCATATCACCATGGCAACGTCCTTTTTTAAAAAATCATTAGGCGTTCAGTGTTCAGACTTTCCTTTAATAGGAGCGAGACGTTTGGAAATGTGGCTCCTCCCCCCTCGGACGAGGTCAGCCTCTCAAAACAACTACGAGACACGGGGAGGCATCCTGAGTCTGACATGTCTGCTGTTAGCTCAGCCACCAGCTGTGAAATATGAAGTATAACTCTCTCCGAGGTCACGAGCTGTTTGTCTCTTTTATTTCCTCCTGAAGAGATCAAACAGCAGAGCGGCGTGCGTCATGCTGCAGGTAAAGACGGTTACCCTCCGTCTCTGCAGGTCGCGCTGAAACTCGCACTAATGTTTACATTGATCAGAGGAGGTCAGAGTCTGCGTCTCCTCGTGCTCTGATTTCTGACTTTATTTTGAAAAGCCGAGCTGTGCAGCGCTGAGGTGTGATAGCGGCGTGCGGGGCTCTGGGGGAGTCGCATTAGCCGCTGTCTGGCGTCTGAAGGGAAGTGAGAGAGCGGCTTAATGTCGACTTCTATTTCCCTCTTCATTTCACACACTGTTGACTCAGCCTATTGACGGACTGCTTCAGCTGGCGCTCAACCAACGCCGCAGAGGAGGCGGTGCATATGACCCCTCCTCGCTGCTCCATTTCACCACGTAGGACGGCCACTTATTTAATAACGCTGAGGGCCCGTTCTCAG